AAAAGTAATTATAGTTAGAATAGCTAATGAAAAAGCAAAACATGTTTGTATCTAGCTTTTTGACCGTTTGTAATATTGATGAATTACCACTGCAGTTGAATGGGAAGTGTGACATGTGAAATGAAAGAAGAGTACAGGCTACAAAAAGATGGCATAAATGTGAGCTACTAATTAAAAAGTGTGAATATACCTCAAGATCTAGTTTTTCTTTACAATACCAATTCATTGTTATTTATTATAATTAAATACTTGGAAAAGGGGTTTTAGATACCATAATTAAACTTGAACATATAAATAACTTTGTTTATTCCATGCACATCTTGATTCTGCAAGCTCAAGTAAATTACTGTAGATAATTTCATTTTTATTGACTCAGGCATATCAAATTAATTCAAATTATGTTTTCAGACATTCACTTGCTTGAATGCTATTGGAGCCACTCAATCTCAGAAAACATGGGTAAGAACGATGGATCAAATTGGCAGTGGTTTGGTATCAAAAGTCCAGAAGCTAGTTCAAGAGGGTCTTGAGTTACGTGTCAACTTTGACAACCTTGACTTCCGAATCCTAGCTAATCAGGTTCTCACAAATCACCGTAACACAGATGTGCACTGGATTAATCAGTACATCACCTTTGCCAGAGAACCATCAGCACATCTTGATGATCAACATCCACTGGCTGATTTAAAAGAACTGCCTTTGACTGAGTATTTACTCAGTCAGGAAGAAGAAAAGCAGTTCAAAAGTAACATCATAGTGTTGGTTGCTAGAGTGCTTACAAAGATGGTCCCATGCTTGGCTGACATTAAAGATGCAGTACCCAAACACATCCCACATCATTACAGTAAAGAGATGGCCAGCAAATCTGTGATAATTGGTTTGCCAGTACAGCCTTTCAGCCAGTCAAAACATGCAGATGCTGTACAGTACCTAGATTACCTGGAAAGTTTTCTTGCTAAGGTACATGCACCAGGATATCAGCAGGTCCCTGGAAATGAAACGTCAAATGCAAGGCAGGCCAGGCTGGATAAAAGTTTAAATGGCGTCAAAGTACCTCTTGGTGGAGATCAACTTGGAAGGGAGAGAGTGATTGGTGCCAAAAAATTACGCCTGGGGTGTGACAGTGCTGCAGCTCGGTTGGAGCACATTGAAGAAATGCCGAGCTATGGCATGCAAAGCAGGCTTAGCCAACGTCGCTTCTTGGCTGCGCTCGACCCGGGAAGATAAACAAAACAAATGAAAAGATTAAATTGAA